AGCCTGGCGCTGAACATTCAGGACCCCGACCACCAGTTTCCTCGGGATCTGGAACAAGGGGTCCCACTGGGGGTCACGGACCCACCCCTAGCCTCGCCGGGCATCTGGCCACTCAAGAAGGAGCTAAAAGGGGAGGAGCCGGACTTCCAGGAACCCCTCTTTCAGCGGATCACAACAGTGAGCTCATCCGTAGCACATTCCTGGAGGAGGTCCCCATGTACATGGTAGATGGCCCTCTCACCAAGGTAGAGGCAGCAGCGGCTGTGGCTGCAATATGGAGGATCTTTGCCCAGGCTCCCTAGCGGGCATCGACGAAGGGGACAAGATCCGCACCATCTACGATGGCTCGGTGGGCGGGGCCAATGACACCATCAGGAACCAGACGGTGGAAAGGACGACGGCTCCGACGGTGCTGGATGGGGTACAAGCTCTTCATTGGCTACATGCGGCAGCTGAGGAGGGACCTCCCTCTCAGGGTGCCCCCGGCCCCGAGAAGGAGGTCGCTAAACCTCCACCCGAGGGCTGGCAATGGCCGGAGCCGGGCACCAGGTGGGTGCTGCTCAAGGCGGACGTCACCAAGGCCCACCGGAGAGTGAAGGTCCTCAGGAAGGACTGGCGGTTCCAGGTGGCCTCGCTGGGGGAAGAATGGTGGGTGAACAAGGTAGGCACATACGGCATGGCCAGTGCCCAATCCTACTGGGGACGCCTGGCAGCCCTTCTACTCAGGGTCCTCTACGCACTTTTCCCTCAAGTGGATTGGAACTTCGTCTTTGTGGATGACTTCCTGTGGCTGCTTCGCAGCGAGGGGGCAGTAAACTTGGCGGTGGCGCTGTTGGCAACACTCCTGGCCTTGGGCACCCCGCTTAGCTGGAAGAAGACACATTTGGCGGAGGTCAACACGTGGCTGGGCTTCGTGGTCCACCCGAACATCCCGCAGGTTCTCATGGCCGCCAACAAACACATCCTGGTGATGGAGGTCTTGCAGATCATGGTGGAAGGGCAGGCGATGCACTCAAAGGACATCGAGAAGGCCCTGGGCCGCATCCAATGGGCAACTGCTGCATGTCCGCTGGCGAAGTCGATGCTTCAGCCACTGTGGGCCTGGAAAATGGCCACCACCACGGTGGGGAAACCCCCTAAGGTGGTCAGGATGCTGGCGTTCATGCTGCGGTTCCTCTTCAACACGCCCTTCGTCCAGTACTCCCCTTACTTGCCGAAGTCCTCTTGGTGGGGTTGCAGCGATGCTAGCGCCTCGGATGAAGGACTGGCATTTGTGGGAGGCTGGTGCGCCAACAAAATGGAGCCGGAAAAGAAGGAGGTGTACTGGTTCCACGAGCAGATCCACGTGGAGGAGTACCCGTGGGCATTCAAGAATGGGGATCCCAAGCGGAGGATTGCGGCTCTGGAAATGCTGGGCACGCTCTTCCTCTGTAACATGATCCTCACGCACCAAGGCCCTCTGTCCTCCCGGGTCCGACTCCCGGTGGGCAGTGACAATCAGGGCAACGTCATGGCGATGCTCAACCTTGGATCCAAGAAGCCCTACACCGCGGCTATCCTGATGGAGCTGGTCTTCCTGCTCCACACCCATGGCTGCTCGCTGGCGGCCAACCACGTGCCCCGGGAATTCAACCAGTGGGCCGATGAGCTGACGCACCCAGATTTCTCTGGGTTCGACCCTTTGCACAGAGTCCCTAAACAGGAACTCTGCGAGGAGTTCATTTTTCTCCCGCGTCTCCTGAATGGAGATGCTTTTGTTCTTAGCGTGGGCCCACCCCTGCTCCCGTGACCGGAGCCGGTGGGTGACTCACTTCCCCTGGTGGCAGACCCCCCTGTGGCCTGGGTGCCCCGGGCCCCGGCCCCAAGACTTTGTATGCCACAACAAAGATCACGACAACCACCACCTCATGTTCTTCTGCCCTCAACTCTACTTCAAGGGCCTCCACAACACCTGGCTTCAGTCCGGCACCTTTGCAGCCACTACTCTGAAGCCCGATCAAGCCGAGGCTATTATTCTTAAGGCAATTCCGCGGCACCTGCAGCAGAGGTACAAATGGGCGTACCGGAAGAAGACCACCTCCATCCCAGTTGCAAAAGTCTTTCTCAAACGCAAGAAGCAATGGAAGTCGGGCCGCACCATTATAGCATATCACAAGGTGGTGCACCGGCTGCTCTTCAAGGCAGTCGCCATCCTTCTCGGCGAGATTGCAGCAGACACATGGAAATGCTCATGGGGGATACACCCCACACCACGCATATGGCAGAACATCAAGCAGTACTTGGACAACACAGACGACACAGTCACCCTTGCCTTCCAATGACGACTTGCTCGGATTCTTCAACAGTGTCCCTCAGGACCAAGTGTGTGCAGCGGTTGAGCAGCTACTAGCCGAGCACCAGCGAGGACGACCCAGTTTCGTGTACTCAGTGGAAACCCAGGCAGCTGCCCACTACAATCGAGTGTTTGCGGGCAAGCAATCCTACGGACGCACACCGACCACGCGCATCATCCACATGGAGGACATCCTAGCCATCGTCAAGTCCAGCTTCCAATGCATGTATGTTCAAGTAGGGACCCTCATCATGCGCCAAGTCCATGGTACAGCAATTGGCTCTCAGCTGAGCCCAGTACTCAGCCACATATGCGTCGCAAGGCACGAAGTCATCTGGCAGCGTATCTATGGACAATGGTTCACCAGTCACAGCGTCTTTTTGGAGCGATATGTGGACAACAGATTTGTCATCTTCCCTTCTCCAGCCTCAGGTCACCCGGCAGCCCCATTGGAGGCACTGCTCCAGGCTGACTTTTACGGTGCTTATATCGTGCTGGAACAAGTGGGGTCTTCAGAGTTCCTCGGCTTCGTCATCGATGTGGGCGACCGGGCGATTTACTACAAAACCCCTAGCAAAATCTGGCAGATAAGAGGACCACGTACTGCTGGAAGCCTCTCCACCCTTCTCTCCGGAGCTAGGTCAAGGTCAGCCCTCGCCACCAAGTACGCGCATCCGGTCAGAGCAGTACAGATGGCACTGGATCAGCTTCGCAGTATTTAGTTGTCCGCCGGCTACAAGTCAGCTGACCTGCAACACCTGTTTCATCTACCGGCGACTCCAACACGAAAGAACTCTCAAGCGCCGGTTTTTAGCTGTTTGGCTTTGCGGCTCTCTTTTTGTCCCTCTTTTTGGCTCTTTTCGGCCTTTTTGGCTCTTTTTGGCTTTTGCACTCTTGTGTCCGCGTATGTCCTTGGGTTTTTGTTTCTTGATGTCCGTGTTGACCATGGTGCTCATACACGGGTTCAAACAGTGCTGCCCTTCCTGCTGATCTTAGAGAGCTGTCGCCATGCTCGGCCGCATGATAGCGCTTCATCACCGCATGACTCAGAACGCTGCTGACATGATGCAGCTCATCCAGGAGACCTTGAACCAAGCTGACGAGGCACACAGTCGCCGGCACCATGACGGGCAAGGTCGCCTGCAGCAACAATATGCCCACGGCCGGTCGCTGGCCGAGTCATCGCGGCCACACGCACTTGCTCCTGCTGGAGTCGATGAGATCAACCCACCTGGGCCGCTGATGCTGAACCCAGTCAACCCGGCAACTCCGACCGACCCTCCACCACATGTCGGACTCCAGTCACTCCAGTCACACACAGACCACAGGCGGAACGTGGTGGTCAACCCCAAGTCGTTGTCCTATTGCACCATCGCGGGGGACATCAACGCCTCTATAGATCTGCGCTCGAAGAGCCCCATGGTGCACGATTACGTTGGTCAGCCGGGCATCAAGAAGGCCAATATTCCCCGCTCCATCATGGACAAGGGTGGGACCGATCGACGCAGAACAAAACGGAAGCGATGCCGCGCTACATCCTCCGAGAAGACGAACTCCCCGGAACCTCCAGCACGTCCAGCACCTCGCACTCCAGCTCCGGTCTCTCCTTGCGCTGGCCTGTTCTCCTCTCCTGAATCCCTTCCCGAACCTCCTGCTCATGCTCACTCCGATGCCGGCAACCCAGGAACTCCCCCGGAAGTACCTCGTGCCTGGACAGAAGAAGATGACCAGCAGCTTTGCAGTCTGAAAGCGGACAACCGGTCCAAGTACTCGTACAAGTCGCTGGCCAAGAAGCTCAACCGGTCCATCGCGGATGTCACGCAGCGCTGGAAGAGCCTGGAACGCCTCAGGAAAGCTCGGGAACAGAATCAGAAGACTACCTGAACGTAGCCAGCGCAGCCAATATAAAAATGTCCGCAAACAGCCGAGCACAGGCAGGAGTTAAAAAGTGACCAAATCACCCATCGAGAATCATGATGGAGGCGGCTTTTCGGTTTTCGGTTTTCGGTTTCGGTTTCTGTGTTCTCCCCCTGCGGGGGGTGTGTGTGTGGCCCCCCTGTTCCTAAGGGGTTTCCGCGGTGTTCTCTCTCTCTCTCTCTTTTTGGAGTCGGCCGCCACCGCCTTGGATGATCTAGCATGGAGTAACTAACGCACTGCTGGCGGTCCGGAAGAGGAGAGTGCGTTGGCGAAAAGATGTCTAGACTTCCTCGGTGCCGAAACTCCATTGCCCTGCCGGAGACCTTCAAACAGCCTGTGCCTGCATGGGGGTGCACATTGTCAGTTTCGCCGTCTCATATCAAGTGTGTGTGTGTGTGTGTGACTAACGTGGGATTCCCCCTATGACTACGTTGTCACTTCCGAAGGCACAAAGCAATGATGCGCGATAAGTTACATTAAACTGTCTAGCCATCTCGGCTTGATCGATGCTGTGTGTTAAACATTCAGACCAACACAGGCCCAGAATAGGTCAATGGTGTGTTCTTTTCTCAGGCTGCTTGCAACTTCTCGAAAAGATGAACCAAAGGTTGAATTTGAGAGTCGAGCAATTTCAACTAGATCAAATACTCAGATGCGCCCGAAGGCGCATTCAAGTGAACATGATGAGCACGCTTTGATTTAAAAAAGCTGAAAGTACACAGCCCCTGCGCAATTTTCCACAACAATGCGCCTCAGAGTCTGGCAGCTCGTTCGAGGCCCCCACCAAGCACCAGAGCGGGATATCTTGCCGCAGCGGTCCGTTGTCAAAGGCCCGCTCGTTCCTCATCCGAGCCATGGTCGAAACCGCGAACATGTAGGCCAAATGGTCATGATTTCGTTGGAAGCCTTACTTTGGCTGAGTAAATGTCTAGATGAATACTCAGCTCAGGTAATTAACAGGGCTTTTTGACGATCGCACGTATGTTTGTTTGTCCCGCAAGGTGTTTCCGTCGAGGACATGTGGATGACAACCGAACCCAAGGCAGGTGCTTCATTCCTGAAACAGACATATTCCCAAATGGGTTTCAACGAGTTTAAACAACATACTCAAAACCCCATGGCAAGGAAAGGGACGACTTCCACAACCAGCTCGCCGTGCCCCACGGAATTGCAATGACCTTGGACAACGCAGAGGACTCAAGCAACTGCCTGTAACCGGTTCTTGGTCATCCAAGGCACGCTCATGCGGAAGCCTGCAGAATTCTTGCTTGAGTGGCCAAGTTGGGCAACATCATGTGCTTAGCACGTTCGGGATGTCGTCCGGGTATTGCTCAGGGTGTCGTTCGCACATGTGCTCTTTTGTTTACAGCCGACGGTGCCACATCTGCTGTATTCCGTGATAACGGAAACCCGGAACATTATTTGAACAATCCTTTCGCAACTGAACCTGAGCCCGTCCATGCGCAGCAACCACATCATGGCTAAGCACACCGTCACGCTTGCTGAAAACATCTTCAGCGGTGCCTGGAAGGGTAGGCTTTTTGCGGGGGCCAACATTTTGACGTTCAGCTTCATTTGAGATAATTCTTATATTTGGCTGTTGCACCATTTAGGGACCGTTTACAGGACGTTCGCACATGATTGCCACTCGCAAGTCGACTTTCATAAAAACCTTTATGCCCCCCCAAAAAACGTGGCTCAATATGGGAGTGTGTCAGAATAGCTGACTCTCCAAACTCGTTGCTTTCCTTTAACCCCCCTGCTCATACCACAACGGTCTAACCTAAAAAAAAGGAGGTTGTCGCGAACTTTAACACCACAATGAGTCATGATAAAAGGAGTAAACCATTGGTATCATGCATTTGCTTAAGTCCCCTGGAAAGAATAACACATGTCCACAGATTCCCTTTAAAATCAACAGGGAAAGATAATCAAACATACTCTTATGAAAATGGAAGTAAAATATTAGCCCCTTGCATAAAGGGCGTGTGCTTTGTCGCGAAATAAGCTCCAGCAAGTACCATGCCAGGTTTAAGGCGCTTTAGGTCATTGAGTGAGGCTCAGGACGGTCATCAAGGAGTTCAGCACCCCGGGATTGGCTTTAAAGACTTCGTCCAGGAAGGCAACGTCCTCGGGAAAAAAAAACAACTTCACTCGACTTCCTCTCTTTGGCTGGTCCAATGAAGCTTAGGGTAGACGTCTTTAAACATCAGAAGGAGCCTCACTTTAAGCTGGCCCCAATGGGGAAATGCTGGAAAGGGACACTGTGCTGATGGAGGTTTAAGGGGCCCAACACAAGCGGCACATCGGACCCAACCCCATTCCAGTTTGTTTCAGCCTTGTTTGGTGCCTAACCAGAAGCAAAGACATTTCGTCCAAGAGAAGAGAAACCAATGAGAACCACTTGAACAAGCCAACGACACCTTGGTAAACGTCCTCGCTAAATATCACCAAACGAAATCTCCCCATTGGCCCAACAGGTGATGTTTAAAACCACCCAAGGGAACATCTAAAGTGGGACCACTAAGGCTTATTAATTCAGGCTTTGAGTTGGTTGCTTGCTGCCTTTTGCCCATACTTTCTTTCTGCATTGAAGCAACCCCTGAAACACTATGGGTATTAAGCCGGGCCCCACATTCAACAAAAAACAACCCCCTAACCTCCAAAGTTATGTTCGATTGTGGGGTCGGCTACATATCAAGCAGAATCTGAACATTAATATTATGTTTGCTGTAACACAGAGTTGGGCCAAGAACAGGCCCTGAAGCTACTGCATCCAATTGCTTGGTGGTTGAGGGCAGGTAAGCCACAGGGTGATGGGGCTGCTCCTGGGCCAAAATTAGTAGCCAAACTTCTACCCTTGCGGCAGGGTTGCATGAGAGCACGCCTGGGGCTTCCCCCCAAGCTTTTTGTTCTTCCCCCGCAGCCCCTTCTTCTCGCTGGGGCCCCGTCTGCCGTTGGCAAATATCCCGCCACCTTGCGCTCCAGCTTGTCGTCTTGCAGGGAGATCAAAGACATCGGACCAAAGACCTGGCGAAGCGAAGCCGCAAGACCAAGCGACACCGTCAGTGCCAAAAATTTGGCCCGTGGCCCTTGGCCCAACACTTGGGCAACGCATGCAGATTCATGCGTCCCGCCAACTTTGGCCCGGCCAAGGCTTAATTAAGCCTAAGGGGGCGGGGGGGGTACAGGACTCAAGGCAACCCCAACATGCCCGTTCTTCACCAAGCGCGTGAGCAGCAGGGTACCGTTTCAGCCTGCCTCCAAGTGGCACAGCTCTGCCACCCCCCGCCACTGTGCTCAGTTCACATCCGGGGGGCAACCTCCCCTACAGGTTTGCAATTGGTTCCATGCTTGCTTTGATTCTTGGGCCGTGGGTGGACCCGAACAGGTGACCCTTTGCAGTGGGATATCCTGGAGTTTCCTACAGCACGTTTGGGTAGAAATTCGTTCCCAAGCGATTGCAAATAAATTATTGCTTGCCGAGTGGAACAAAATAAAACACATGAGTTGCGCACAATATCGTTCGGAGCACGGTTGTCCCCTTGGCTTTTGTGGACAACTTGGGCTATACCCCATGTCCTCCCAGGCCAACAGTAGACGTCACTGTCATCAGTTGCTCATCTGAATTCTTGTTGTAGCTCGATGTTGTTTAACGGGAACCCACCTCCACTAGAGCACTAGAGGATCCCTGACCATCCCAGATCCCTAACCATCGAAGGGCCCAATTCTCCCCAAGTGCGCAAAAAGGGGACACCAACTCCATTGGGCAGTCAGTCATCTTTGTTTTCGCTGATAACACCTCCCCTCCCCAAGCACAAGTACCACTCCAAAAGAGACCCAGCACTATGTTGCTTCGACTTCTTGTTCATGGTAGTTCCCCTGTCTTCACGGCGGTTCCCTTTCACCCCATGGCCACCCCCGAGCCGGGTACCATCCAACAAAAGGCACACCCATCGGAATCTTCAAAGTCGCGCTCCAAAGGATCCACCCCCCATAGTATTTGCAAGTGTTGTTTTGGCCACTCGGGAAACCCCCTAATTGCCCTTTTTGTGATACCAAATTGGGCCATCAGGACAACTTGTTCATTTTCGAGGGGACTCTCATGGCACACGGAAAGGTAGCAAAACCCAATATCCTCCTTCCAACAATCATGGAAGTGGACAGGGGACCTTTGCCTCCATGATGGTCAAAAAACCTCTCCGCACTTCCACGTTGGACAGGAAACTGCCTTTTAAACTTTTGGCTCCCTCGAGAAAACAGAGAGACCCCCTCAGTGTAGAATCTCTTTGGTGAGAGTGTCCCAACATAAACATGTCCCTCCAAATCCTCCAAGAGTCAAAAGGCAAGCCCAATTGCAAAGAGAATATGGACTCACCTTCGCCAAAGAAGGGAAATATTGTACCACAGGACCATGGTTGCATAAGATACTGTCAACCCATGCATCAACCACAGTTGATTCATCTGGACCATGGTTGCAAAAAGGGTCTTCCTCTCAATCTCGCCTGGGGAACCCTGGTTTCTGGTGATTCCCCTGTAAATACCCACAAACGTTCTGGTTTCAACCACGGTTTCATTTGGGTGTGGATCAAAATTAAGCCACCAGAACGACCGCTGGTTTTAGTCTTTGGTTCCATTTGCCGTTCCATTTTCGGTCCGCATTGTTGACCCACCGCCATTTCCTGATCCACGAAACGACAAGCCGTCCATCCACCGGGACGGCCTCCTCCGGCACCGTGAAGCGCGTGAGCAGCTGCTCGAAGAAGCTGCCGCGGCACAGCGCGGCCAAACGCTGCGCCAGCATACTCTTCCCCGTGCCCGGGGGGCCCAGGAGCCTCAGATGACGCGCGTAGCCGGAGCAAGGAAGAACACCCCCACCAGCTACATGGGGGAAAAACAACTGCCTAGGTGTCCTTTCAGGGGAAATAGATTGCCATAGATGGCCCTGGTAGATGACTAAACCACCAGGTAAACCAGGGCCATCTATTCTTCCAGCAAAACAACCAAAAAGGACACCTATGCTCACATGACTCGTGTAGCCGGAGCCATCAAGGAAGAACACCCCCACCAGCTACATGGGGGAAAAACAACTGCCTAGGTGTCCTTTCAGGGGAAATAGATTGCCATAGATGGCCCTGGTAGATGACTAAACCACCAGGTAAACCAGGGCCATCTATTCTTCCAGCAAAACAACCAAAAAGGACACCTATGCTCACATGACTCGTGTAGCCGGAGCCATCAAGGAAGAACACCCCCACCAGCTACATGGGGGAAAAACAACTGCCTAGGTGTCCTTTCAGGGGAAATAGATTGCCAGATGACTAAACCACCAGGTAAACCAGGGCCATCTATTCTTCCAGCAAAACAACCAAGAAGGACACCTATGCTCACATGACTCGTGTAGCCGGAGCCATCAAGGAAGAACACCCCAACCAGATACATTCGGGAAAAAACAACTGCCTAGGTGTCCTTTCAGGGGAAATAGATTGCCATAGATGGCCCTGGTAGATGACTAAACCACCAGGTAAACCAGGGCCATCTATTCTTCCAGCAAAACAACCAAAAAGGACACCTATGCTCACATGACTCGTGTAGCCGGAGCCATCAAGGAAGAACACCCCAACCAGATACATTCGGGAAAAAAAAACTGCCTAGGCGTCCTTTCAGGGGAAATCGAGGGTCCTGGTAGATGATTGAACCACCAGGTAAACCAGGGCCATCTATTCTTCCAGCAAAACAACCAAAAAGGACACCTATGCTCACATGACTCGTGTAGCCGGAGCAATCAAGGAAGAACACCCCAACCAGATACATTCGCGAAAAGAAACTGCCTAGGCGTCCTTTCAGGGGAAATAGATGACCATAGATGGCGCTGGTAGATGATTAAACCACCAGGTAAACCAGGGCCAGCTATTCTTCCAGCAAAACAACCAAAAAGGACACCTATGCTCACATGACTCGTGTAGCCGGAGCCATCAAGGAAGAACACCCCAGCTACATGGGGAAAACAAAAACTGCCTAGGTGTCCTTTCAGAGGAAATAGATGGCCATAGATGGCCCTGGTAGATGATTAAACCACCAGGTAAACCAGGGCCATCTATTCTTCCAGCAAAACAACCAAAAAGGACACCTATGATCACATGACTCGTGTAGCCGGAGCAATCAAGGAAAAACACCCCAACCAGCTAGGTGTCCTTTGAGGGGAAATCGAGGGCCATAGATGGCCCTGGTAGATGATTAAACCACCAGGTAAACCAGGGCCATCTATTCTTCCAGCAAAACAACCAAGAAGGACACCTATGCTCACATGACTCGTGTAGCCGGAGCAATCAAGGAAGAACACTCCAACCAGCTACATGGGGGAAAAAAACTGCCTAGGTGTCCTTTCAAGGGAAATAGATGGCCCTGGTAAACCGGGGCCATCTATTTTTTCCAGCAAAACAACCAAAAAGGACACCTATGCTCACATGACTCGTGTAGCCGGAGCCATCAAGGAAGAACACCCCCACCAGCTACATGGGGGAAAAAACTGTCTAGGTGTCCTTTCAGGGGAAATAGATGGCCCTGGTAGATGATTACACCACCAGGTAAACCAGGGCCATCTATTCTTCCAGCAAAACAACCAAAAAGGACACCTATGCTCACATGACTCGTGTAGCCGGAGCAATCAAGGAAGAACACCCCCACAAGCTACATGGGGAACAAAAACTGCCTAGGTGTCCTTTCAGGGGAAATAGATGGCCCTGGTAGGGCCTCTATTCTTCCAGCAAAACAACCAAAAAGGACACCTATGCTCACATGACTCGTGTAGCCGGAGCAATCAAGGAAGAACACCCCAACCAGCTACATGGGGGAAATAGATGGCCCTGGTAGATGATTGATTAAACCACCAGGTAAACCAGGGCCATCTATTCTTCCAGCAAAACAACCAAAAAGGACACCTATGCTCACATGACTTGTGTAGCCGGAGCAATCAAGGAAGACCACCCCAACCAGCTACATGGGGGAAAAAACACAACTTCAGCATGTTAGGGAAACAAACATAATCAGCATGTTTTGGGGAAACTTGCGTGTTTGTTGATTGGTGCTAGAGGGAAAGAAGACTTTGGGAGGACCATCCTTTTGAAGGGTCCTGGCTTAGTTTGCTTGTAAAGTACCCATATCCCCTTTTCTGTTAATTTGGTCATGGATCCAATCGGAATGGCTAGAGTTGGACCTCCCCCGTTTGGATGGTGCTTCAAGGAATTCAATCACAACCGTCTTATTCCCAGTTGGTTTCTCTTTACAAGCCCAAAGTTGGCTTCACTTAGCCCTTCCATTGCCACGCCCCTTGAAGGATCCATGGCGTTCAGCTCCGGGGTCCTATGAAACCCAGCGGGTTGGACCCATGCCGGTCCAACGCCTTGTCAGAACCTGCCCCTACCAGACCCCGAAACGCAGTGGCCATGGGAAACAAGGAAAATCATTTTTTTGGATGGTGAATTGACCAGGGAAACCCCCTCTAAACGAGGGATGCTTCGTACGAGAAGTTGAACTTAAAGCAACATCACTTCCCAAAAAGCTTACTTTCGGTCGCTAGTAGTTGATTTCAGAGGGATTGACGTCCCCTTTTTTGGAAGCCACTGAGCAACTTTGCCAGGCGAGGCTCAGGACGTGTTCCCCTGCCACCGCCGCCAGTAGCAAGATCTTCGCTTCCTTGTGGCGCTCCGTGAGGCCGGAGGTCATCTGGTTCAAGGCGCCTCGATATCCCCAACTCGCCGTTAAGGACAGCACTTGGGGTTTTGAACATGAGAAAAAGCAGTCCTTGGGGGTGCAGGGTGTTTGTGTTCAGGGTACTGCTTTTCAGGTTGAATTGAAAATGGAAACTGAAAGAACCTCTTTTCGGGTTGATTCAGAGGCTAACTAAAAGGAAAGCCACTTTGGAGTCCCCCTGTGCTGACCGACGTAAACACCGGGACCCTGCAAAAAAACCGTACAGCGGCTACAAAGTGGTTGCATATCCCATTCAAGCCTTGGAGGTAGTTGTTTGGGGAGAACGGAAACACATATTAGATTGGAGGATGCAAAGGCTGCACCCGCCTACTCTCCTCCCACAAAGATGAAACGCACCAGAAAGTCCCCAGGAGGAAACGGATCTTCAAGATCACTCATACAAACACCGCACGACGACAAACAATCAACAGCAAAACCAAAAGACACCATGCACACACGCACAGAAACAATATACGCATACACCGCCGAAGCTAGACATGTTCAAATTGATCCAACACCAGAAATAAGGGCTCCCCGTGACAACTTCATCATGGTCTAAATCGCTCACTTTACCTGCAATCGCTCGCCATACAATTTAGCGAACACATCTGCCAGGACTACAAAAACAGTCCACAAACACAATAAATATAGAAACAACCCTATATACAACCACACGCACACAAACTTGGCTGGTGCATGGAAACCTCCTGCTTGCTCGTTCTTCGTCGCTTTTCTGACTTAGGTCACCAATTGCTGCTGATCTCTCCAAGTCACTAACCAAAACCACTTAGATCACCTCCCATTTGCTCATTCTTCGGTGATTTCTGCGAATTCAAAATTCATCTCCCCAACTCACCAGTCAAAATAACGACGCCAACTGCGATGCGAGGCGCTCGCCAGGCGCTGCGGCCACAGTCCGCCTCCGCCCGCGCCGTCGCGGGAAAGGCCGTGGAGGCGCTGGCTGTGGCGGGCGAGGTGCGCGGCGCGGGGCCCGGGCAAGGCGAGCAGCATCGCGCACCGCAGGTCCGCCACCTGATGGCGTGTCCCGTTTTGAGGGTACCATTGGTACATATGGGTACCCTTTTTTGAGTTGGTTGACTGGTTTTGAAGGAAAACCAAGAGGAACGCAACCGTTTTGAGGGTTCCAGATGCCAAATTCAAGTCCCCCCTGCCCCTCCCAAATGAAAGGGGTGGGTCGTCCGAGGGACGTGCAACAAACGAATGCCGCTAGTCTGCCACAAGTCTACCCAAAAATTAGTAAGTCCAGGAACTCGGGGAGTGAGAAAGGTATTGGTCTTACTCAGGCCGGCTAGTGATGCGCCCTTTTGAACGACAACCAAAGGAAGATCCTCGTCATATATGTGGTTGGTTCTTTTGCCCGACGCGGTTGTTTCTGTCGCAACCAAGCACAGGAGGTCGCAACACCATCCGGAAACATACAAGCCCAACTCGCCCGACTGGAAGCCTTCAGCTTCCTTGAGAAGCCAACAACAAGTGAAAATATTACCTTTCGTGATTCAAGGTCATGATATCCTCATACACATACACAAACGATTGGACACAGACTGCGCCTTGCGCATAGATGGAGGCTAACAAATTCATGGTACACTTTTTGGGTGTTTCGAAGGGAAGCCAAACGGAACCCAAACCTTTGGGGGCTCCCCCCGGGATCCTTATTTCCACGAAAGCACAGAAACGCTCAAGGGAAAAGACAAATTGAAAATAGTGATTTTGAAAAGCACTGGGGAACTAGCCCCCCAAATGCAGGTATGTGTCTTATGGTGCGGTATCCCCCAAAATAATGGCTTTCCTTTTGGCTTGCCTTGTTAAATCGACCTGAACTGGAGTTTGTGTGGTCTCCCTTTAAACCAACCTGAAACGGGCGTAACTTGCATATGGGTAAGTCTTTTTATAGCTTATAACCATGACTCTACCTATCACATATGGGTGTCTGGTTTTGTGAGGGTACCCTGTTCATCCTCGTTTTACAGGTCCTAAATAAATCACCGAAAGGAAAGCCACGTATGTTGTCCGCACACTACGAAAACGACACCACTTGCCTGCAAGTGCAGCTTCTTGAGCAGCCGATACATCACTCCAGCATTCTTCCTGGATGGCGCAAGTGACCCGCAAGTGACCCACTTCAGCAAGGTCTCCCTGGAGCTCTACGCCCTTGCCTCTTCGGGGCGCCGCTCATTTGTCCAAAATCGTTGACTTTTCAGAAAGCGGATTGGTCAAAACCAGTCCAGCATTGGTGTTCACTAAAATGGTCCAGACCCAAAAAGTTGCAAATCCAGGAACTCAAAAAGTGCGTAGAAGAAAACGGGAGCGCCTTTGGGGCGGTTCACGGTTCACTTTTTATTTCGCTACCCTGCAAACCAAAAGGACAAAACGGGACGACTGAACAATACTGAACAACTGGGGTGCTCTAGTCATCTCTCTGATGTAGGGATGTTTCCAAATAAGCCAGCCTCTCAAACCGGGTAGCTACAAGTATCACGCACATCAGTGGTTCCGAGATAGGTCAAATCAGATTTGGAAGGCCCCCCCAAACATCAAGCAATGCTAAGCATAGGCCCAGGGACTTGCGAAGCCAGAGATTCAAGCCCGTGATTGCGGCAACGGGGGCTCCTAAGCTTCCCGGATGTAAGCATGCCGTCTCCTTGGCACCCCCAATATGGCCAGCCAATGTCAATCCTTCTAGTAGAAATCAGATTGGATGAAATGCGTCTCCCATCACCAAACCATCACACACACACACACAACAAAAACATAAAGCATGGGGCCACCGGGGATATTGACCAAATGACGTATGATTTATCGGCCCTGTTCCTTGTTCTTCCATCTCACTCCTGAAGGCCCTCTTTCTTTCGGGCAAACTTATCTGACCAAGTGTCTCTGTTGGGTCGCGGCTCCAAAGCCGAGGGGCCCACTGGGCCCACTGGATCTCGAAAGGGGTAAAGTCACCACCCAAGTGGCAGCTTGAAACGAAACACTCCAGAAACAGCCAACCCCAGCAAACCTAGGGACCTCCTGGAAACCTCAAAAAGGGCTGTCTCTAGTTTCCTCCAAACCAACGTTTCCCGACCCCAGACCCCCAGTGGCCACCTGAGAAGGGCATCATTTGTGTGGCAGCTTTCTTCCAAACAAAGATCTGTCCAAAGACAAGAAAACGGAAGCAACCCACGGAACGTCTGGGATAAAACCGTTCTCTGCTTCCGAACAACTGTTCCAAGTTCGTTCAACATATCGACCATGGTTTTGGGAGGGACAAGAATGGGACCTCACCAAATGCCAAGCACACAATTCAGGCCTAACCTGAGTTTACAGCCAAAAACACATAGCGGAGTATGGTCCAGATTTGTGACCCTTTCTGCTGAATTGTGTGAAATAATTTCAAGACGACCCTCATGCAGGGACATGTGGAAAGGACATGGGGACTCCCTGGCCTCATTTTCCATGTCCAGTACTGGCCCAAAGTCATCCACAAGTCGTAGCTTACAGAGACACAACTCCACCAAAGGGTCTGGAATTAAAACTCAACGCCCATATGGATATGAACTGCAATTGGGGACCCTTGGGTGGACATCATTTACTTGGGTGGGGATTCCTGTCCAATCCTTTGGGAGCTTCCCCATTAAAATTCAGAGCCATATATCACCGCGAATGTGAACCCTTCGGCCCCGCTTCCTGCGGAAGCCACGCTGGAGCAAGGCCAAAGCCACGTGCTCTGGCGCCAAGGGCCCTCCGTTCTGCAGCAGTTTCTGCCACTCCAAGGCCTGTCAAAACAAAGGCTCTCAACTGGGACAAGGTTCAACCCTAAACCTGGGATTTAAGTTTTTTTTGTTTTATCTGTTTGTTCATCATGCTAGTTTAGTCAGGGGCAAAGATGTAACATGGTGCGTGTGTTGACAGAGCCAGGACATGGGACACTTGGGCTTTGTGGGAGCATTTCGAGCTCGTCTCCCATGTCCGTTTCTCCCACATGGGCCATGGACTGCCGAAAACATTGAGCGAAACCCACGGGTTACAAAGGACAACAACAAACACTGATTACAAAAAGAAGGCAGGACTCCCTCTGAAACTGAAACCACGCATTCGAGGGGTTCGCGTCTGCAATAAATAAACATGGGCTGCCCAAGTTTTCCAAGGAAACTCCTCAAAGTTGTGGTTCTTTAGGTTCCAAGGCCATCAGGAAAGCAAAACATGTTCATATGAAAGATCGTTTATGTGGATGGGAATGTAAGCATATATCACAGTAAAACAACAAGATGACAAAAGTCGGGAGCAGGGTTTGCAGCCTCTGGAGTGTGTGTGTGTTGTTTGTTTGCGTCTGTGTGCTTTTGTCGGACAAGAAAGATGTATGTGAAAACTGGGTATTTTGTGAACACACACACACACAGAGGTTCTTTTGCAGCCTTCCTGAAAATGAACTTGTTCTTGACTGTATGCATCCACATGTTCGTATAACAATATTTATTGCATCTATCGTCGGTGTGCCTCAAAATCGGGGACCCCAAAAGGGCTTCTTTTTTTGGCAGAGCCGCACCTATGTCAAAACCAGGAGATATCATTTCGAGTGGCAAGGGCCTCATGCTGTTTCCTGCTTCCCTTTCAATCAGGGCGCCTGGTACGAACCGACAGAAAAACATCTAGCCTGACTCAAGTTTCCAAGTATTACCCAAAAGGGTTGGTTCCTTTATTGGGTGTACGACTTCGGGAATAGATCATGTGGTTCCAAATCAGACAAAATTGCCCACCACATGCAACAACTGAATTTGATGAGCAATTCCCAAGAATCACGACAGCAATCAGCCATCCTCCTAGGTTCGCGTCCTCGGCACTGAGATGCCTGAGAGCATTTCCGAAGCCCAGACTACTAGCTGGTAGGCTCTCCGCTGCAACTGCGAGGGCTGCCATGTTAGAACTCAGCTCAGCTTGAAGAAGCTGCTCCTCGCCAGCTCCCCCGTTCAGTAATGGTCTATAGTCTCGGCTCTCTTCGGCGCAGTTTTTGCACGCAATGAGCCTGCGAGGTACGCCGTCAGAATCCAACACCTCCTGGCTGCAGCCTCCAGAATCCGAAACCTTCTTGCGGCAGAAGAAGCAAACTGAGCGGCAAAGATCGCGAAACAGTGTGGGGCGGGACCTGCGGCATTCGGTCAGATCTGCCTCTGGGAGGCAGAGTTCATAGCACGCCCGGCACACCCACGCGTCAGTCGCAGCGTATCGACACTGCGCCTGAGAGAGGTTTGCTGCCTCCCAGTTTGACGTCGCCTCACGCTTTCATACTCGGATGCCGAGGAAGGCGGCAGCACAACCTTGCAAGCTCAGGGCACGGCAGCCGGCGCGCTAAAGGCCGTAGCTCCACCCCACTGCAAGCTTTCAGACTGAGCTGCGCCAACCTTAGCAACTGCGAGGGGGAAAACGTAAAACGTAGCGTTTTGACACATGTTTTGAAACATACGCGAGACGCGGCTTCTGTTTTGAACTGGATTTGGCCCAGTAAGATGTGCACCCTAGCAAAGCAGAACCCCAAAAAAGTACCCCAAAACCTGTTTTAGACCATGAAGGGCACTGGAAAGCGCCTCCGCGTTTTTTTTTTTTTTTATACACTAGATGTTTGCATTTTGGTGTGGCGGAGCCCTGTAAGATATGTGCCCTAGCAAAGGGGGACCCTCTAAAAGTACCCCAAAACCAGTTTTAGACGACCAAAACTCGATATATATACATATATATATATATATTCCTTACTACCTTCAGAACACACACACACACACACGTACCCTTTTCGTAGTAGTTCATGTTCTACCAAAACGTGAGTTTTGAAAACAAAGTTGTTTAAACGTAAGTTGCGAGTTTCGAAACGCGAGCTTCCGATCCGCTAAAACGCCAACTCCTTTTGCACGTTGATGCCGACTTTGAGCACGGCATTGTCTTCGAGGAGTAAGCGCAACGGCAGTGGAACATGCTTGCCTTCTAACCGGAACAGACAGGCGCGAGTGCGTGATGCGAGCTGCACCAGGCATATTGGATTAGGCTTCTGTCCGCGCTGGAACACGGGCTTCGACTCCGTGTCGAAGCCGAGGACCCTGTCCTCATTGCGCAGCGCCTGACATTGGGCGGTCAACGTCTGAAGGTCACCGAATAGGATGACCTTAATATTTCAGCTGCTGGAGCACTGCCTTAAACTCCGGGCTCCTCTTCGAGCAGATGATTCGCAGAGGCCATCAGCCCGAGCCAGCGCGCGTGCGCCGTGTGGCTCTCGCTCGTGGGCGGCGCGGGCGGCGCGCGAGCTGGGACCCCTCCCTTTAAATTCACATTTTCGGGGGTCGTAAACAGCGTGACATTACGGCGGTTTCCTCTTGGTTTTCCCTCCTTAAGCAACCAAATTGTCGCGCCACCCAGAAACGCCGACCCCACTAGGTTAAACCATGCGATTCTTAGCTGTGGAAAGCCCTGCCAGGCCTCGAACAACGAAACCCACTCCGCTTCATAGGCATCCCGTTGAAAGGGAAACCAACAGGTTGCGTAAACTATAGTGGTTAAAACCATGGTTCAAACACAGGTGAATTGTTTTACAAACACAAACAAGTGGTTCAAGCCCTCGTGCTCTATGCTTCGTGCGATATTGAAGCTGTTCAGTTATGGTCTTAGTCAAATGTACGCAATTCAAGGAGCCTCTAGGAACCCTTTCAGGTTTCTCAGAATCGCGATCTCCTAAAATGGCAAGGGCTTCCTGTGCTTTTCTTGAACTGCCAACCACAGGGGAGTCAGAAATCTGTTTTGTGAAACTCCCAGGTTGAATCGCCAACGCTGGTTTCCTCCGCTGTCAAACGACTCAATCGCCACGGGAAAAGAGGGCTACCTGTTTCCTGGTTGGCTTTAGAGAAACCATTCCCCAACAAGTTGAAATCAAGATAATTAGAGCCAATTTTCGCTGGTGGATTTGAAGGCAAACCATTCTCCCAACCCCAAAAAAAAAAAAAACTCGGCCGTGAGCGGATCAAAGCGAAAAACCGCACCTCCGCCATGGTCTCCTGAATGGTGCGGCTGATGGGCAGCATGTGGCCCGGCAGAACCACTCCGGGCCCGCCCACCTCCACCTGAGCGCTCCGGTGCCAAGTGGGGCGCCAGGTGGGGCCATGGGCGGGGGGGGGGAACAACAGCAGCTAAGTGGTTTTTGTATTTCAAGTATCTCTTTTAAAATCTTCGACTTGGTTGATTTGGGGGCCCTCCTGTGGAAGAAAACAAGCATCTCTGTGTTGTTCTCCTTTCACCTGTGAAATCGTTGTCTTTGGGTCTCTTGTTTGCTTTGAGTAGTAGTAGTAGTAGTTGTTTGTTTTGAATGGACACCTATCTTTGCGTTTGAACTGATTTTGCGCTGTCTAACATGGATCTGGAACGGCTGGCCCAAGCAAGTTTGGACACCTTTGTTTAAGTGGATCAACTTAGTTTGAATTGCTTCGCATAGGTTTGCATTAACACGCGTAAGAAGGAATTGTTCATGACCCGGCTGCTTGACTTGCATGATAGTTCGGGGTTCGTCATTATTCGGCCATTGGAGTGTTCCATGTCTAGTGATGTCATGTAGGTTGGGAAATGCGCTTCTCGGGGTGAAGAAGGCGGAAACTACCTTTTCGTGGGTGCCATGGTTGGTTCTTCAAACACTGCAGGTAAACCAACCATCCTCTTGTAAATCAAAGATAAACCCTTGCTCCCTTGCTGTGTATGCAGGGGAACGATCATATGTCTGCCCTTGGAAGAGCATCTGCCAAAATACGAGCCAGGCTTGTGATGCTTGCTTTTGGGCAGCCTCGAGACTTTCGTGTGCGGGCGGGCTGGTAGGTCGATACAACATGTGTTACCCTGATACGTTCCTAGCAGAAGCCACTAGTTACAGTTGTTTGTGTGTGTGTTAAAGCACAATAAAAATTAAACATGTGTGTGTCTATGCAACTCCAAAAAGGCAAAGCACAGCTGAGACACCATATTGTTTCCGAACCTCTCCTGAGTGAACTGGTCCAGCCCTCTGCCAAAGGATCTGGAAATGACATACGGTTTGTGCTTTAGTCGGTACCCCAGCGGTCCTTAAACAACAGGGTGTTTGTTGTTCAATCTGTTCGGAGGAAGGCGAGCAAAAACGAAACCAACAAATGATCTCGTTTGCGGACATGTGGGCTGGTTGCGTCCATATGTGCGCTCGTTTTGCACTTTAATTCCTGCGCGCTCCTTTCTTCAGCGAACGGTCATCTTGGAGGATACATCCAAGAATACACAAACGCTGCTCGAACCGTACAGTTTTGCCGTTTGCATGGAACATGTACGACAATGACAATTCCGCAACGAATCAGCAAAAGACGAAACACGTGTGCTGCGAAGGTAGCTTCAGGAACAAATGCACGAACTAGTAAATGAAGTGCTACTGTTGTCAACTAAACTGATCAACCTAAGGGGTTGATTGATTCATCTATAACGCATATCTATATATATATATATATGTATGTGTATATGTGTACATGTATATTCAAAAGTTTTGTTTCTTGGGTTCCCAATCGAACGCTCGCCACCCATCGCCCCCCGCCTGGTTGGGCACCATGGCCAGGCGCGCGGTGACACGGGCCAAGGCCACGGGAGCCCTACGAAAACCGGAAGGCCAGAGCTTCGAGTTTCCAGTCAAGCTCCAGCTAGGGGTGACCTCCGGGATTTAAACCTCCGGGTTTGGGGGCACTTTCGGATGCCTAGAGGCGGCCATGGGTCAGCTCTGTGTTAGTGGTTTCACGTTATGGTAGCTGGAAGTACGCTCGTTATGTTGCCCGCGTTGGTTGGTTTAGGTTGGTACGTGAAGTTGGTTGGTTGAGGTTTCAACAGTTGAGAGGAAATGGTTGGGTAAGGTTAATCCCAGTTGTATTGCATAATGTTGGTCAAACACGACTCACGGTAAGTGGAGAAAAAAGAAGGGTAACCAGGCCGCATTTCTGCGCTAGATACACCTGGCACCCGAGTGAAGGGGAACATACGTGGCCGAGCACATCGAACCTGGATCCATCCAGATCGAAGGGACACCTGGGACACCGCAACAGGGTCGCTCCAAGGAGCCTGGTACAAGGGCCGAAATTTGTACCTTATGCTGCGCTGCTTGGAAGTGCACGAGACTCACTATTTGGAGGAGTGAGGTCTGGAGCGCCGAGGCTTGGCACAGAGGCGTGAACATATATCCGCCGACCCCTTTCTCCAAGGGGGAGGCGCATGGGAAGGATTTGTATTCGTCCTTGTCTTCTATCATCACCACTGATGTTGGGTGATGGTTCGCAGCATCCGGATCATCATCGTTCTTCTGTTTCATATATGTTTCAAGTGTGCCGTATGCCTGACTTGGAATGCAGGTGATGCATAGTCATGATTGCTATGATAACAGGTGATGATTATCATCAGGATGTCGTCACGGAAACTGCTGGTGATGCTGGGGATGTGTAGTGACGACCAGGATAATCAGGATCATCATCATCATCATCATCATCATCATCATCATAACCCAACTTGACATGCAAAGTGAGGATTTTATGACGATGCTGCGGATGCATAGTGATGGTTATCAGCATCACTGATGTTGGGTGATGATTCGAATCATCTTCCTTTTCATATACGTTTCAAGTGTGCCGTTAGACCCGACTATAAATGCAGAGGATGCGTAGTGATGACTATCATCAGGATGCTGATCATCATCATCATGACCCGACTTGACATGCAGGGGATGCAAAGTGACGAATGTCATCATGACTGCTGGCGATGCTGCGGATGCATACTGCTGGTGATGCTGGGGATGCGTAGTGTTATCATCAAGATCACAACCATCATCACCGGCGTCATCATCATCAGCATCGTCATCATCATCACCATCTGATTGAATCCGGGGTGCTAACAGCTTACTTCTCGCGAAGACGAAGCGATGACACAAAGTCCACGCTTTGCATCCACAGCAATACAATAAAGTCTTGCGAACAAAAAATAGTTCCCCCAACATGGTTTTCCTGCCCAAGTTTCCACACACCGGGGGCACTCCTTGTAACATCCAACAAGGTGCCCTGCAGTAGCTTGTTTGAGATGCAGGGCATGCGTCGTCATAATTATCATAACAACTGCTGGTGATGCAAAAAATGCAAAGTAACAGTTATCATCATGACTGCTGGCGATAATGCGAATGCATAGTAATAAATATCAGCATCCCTCATGTTGGGTAATAATTTGCATCATAAAAAGCATGATCATTATCGTGGGGCTCTTCTTTTTCATATATGCTTTCAGTGTGCCGTCAAATTAGGCAAACAACGCGTAGTCATAATTGTTATAAGCAAGCCGGGGGCGGCGGCAAAGGGCGGCAGCCAATATATATATATATATATGCTGCGGCTGCACAAAATATGTTTTATGAGTTGGTGGCTGGTTCTCCCATTAGTGAGTTTCACCCAACCTGGTGCCTGAATTCTCCGCCTGACGTGCAGGGACACGAATGGAAGCGGGGTTTTACGCCAAACAGCCAGAGGATTTCCGTAGGGAAAAGGGGGCTCCCTTGTTGTGGTAGATGACCTTTTGTGGTTGAAGACATATGCATATAGTTGAAGACATAGGACGCTGAAGAGGTTGGGAGTTTGTTCCACTTCCTTTTTGGGTTGGGTTCAACTTCAAACGAAAACCCTCTCCGAAAAACAGACAGCAACAAAAACAACCACCCCGCTGGAGGTCTGGCTCTCTTCTCCGAGTTCTGATAAATGTTCAAGCTTCGCGGCACGGAGAGTGTGCGGATTGCAGGGTGGGAAACCAGCTTGAAGATACACCAGAGCGAACTTGAACAGGTACTTCGCATTCATCTTTGGAATTATTGACCTCAAGCAAACTCCAAACTGGTGAGTTGAGTGCTCCGGAGTCCAGTAGCTGAATTGCGTTGTATATCCTCCAGTATCTATGTTCATACTATATTTATCTACTTTATATCATTCGCACAATTATTCACGTACGTTACTCTCCAAATCCAACATCCAGCTTTCGACGCCGAATCGTCCTGCTTGGGCAGAACTTGGCGGCCACGGAGCGCACGGATAGGAGCCCGAAGACCAGGGAGTCCTGTTCGGGATCCACAGTCAATGTTGCAACCAGTGCCAGGGAAACTTCTTGGGTTGATAACTAGGCCCTCCAGTAGAGAGGTTAGAATAAGGGTACGCTTTTTGTGTAGTGTATTTTCGCAGGGGAACCTTCCCCCAAAAAAGGGTAAAAGGGCACTACTGGGGACCTAGATGATGTTCGTGGGAAACTCACCAAACAAGGGATTCAGTGACCTGAACGGAGGAAACAGGGAAGCATGGTTCTTGGGTTGACCATTCCTGCCACCACAAAACGCGAAACCGGCTGCCGCTGCACAACTGGGTCATTCTGAGCCTCATACACCAATCTATATGTCTGGGCAAATTACTGTAATTCAATCACCGGAACAAAGGAAGCCGTGTAAAGGACCTTCATCTCTCGTTGGGGGACAAGTCGCTGTCGCGGCATTGGGTGAGGTCGCTCAACCCCCAGGCGAGCTAGTTAAATTTAGAGCCACGCGCCATGGCTTAAGCCTCGAATAAGAAGTTCAAGGCACCCACCTGTTTCCAACATTGCCAGAGAGAACCAAGCTAGGATTCTAGCCAGCTATGTTTGCAACAAAGCTGTTCAGAAAAAAAAGAAAAAGACACACCGAGGCCCAGTCCGCAGGTCCAAAAAAGATTCGCCTGGATCCATTGGCTCACTGGAACTCCTCTCCTGGAATTTTGACGAAAAGGTGCTCTGAAGATGTCACTCTTGGTCCAAAAAAGGTAAATAGAAATATGTCCCCTGAAGCAGCCCTCCCCTTGTATTGCTTCACCTTCAAGCCTACACTATCGAAATATATGATGCCTCTTTCAAAGGGCAAGGATGGAAGATGGTACCAAACGTTGCTTGCGGACATAAGATGGTACCAAACGTTGCTGGGTGCTACATGGGGGCCCCATCATGGGGGTCTTAAAACAAAGAGCGGATGATTGCCCTGTAGGTAAATCAAACAAACACCTGCTATTTAGCACGCACTGGTTGACCCCTCCTCAAGATGCACATGCCGGCGAGTGGGAAACGGAAACTCATGTTCAACCAGAAAGTTAAAGGCAACAAGTCTTACTCAACAACCATGTTCAGCCAACAGTCAAAGGTTAAAGATCCAAATGCCAGCCATGTTGGTAACGCCCCACAGCGACATATGTAATAAATAATCACAAAGATCAATAAACCAACAAATAAGCACAGCACAAGGCTCGATCAATAAATGAATAAGTAAATAAATAAATCAATAAATAAATAAATACATAAACAACTATATAAACAAACGCGCAAAGCATACCTATAGTGTTAAACAATGAAATGTACATATATATATATATGGGTCATATATACATACGTAATGTATGCACACCTGTAATGGCTCTATGTGAACGGATGAGTTTGCAACAGAACGCCCGAGCGCTCGCGCGTTCGCCTCGGAGACCATTCGGTGCTTGGCCCGCAGCGCCTCTTGGTGGGCCACGTTCAAGGCGCCCAAGAGGTCCGAGTCCACCTGGAGCCAATGGGTCTGCGTTCTTTTTTGCCAGTTTTTTCTGGGCTGCCCTCAGATCCCCCGCTAAAAGTTTAACTTTTGGTGGGCTAAATGGAAACTACCACTAAACACTAAAAGGCTAAAAAGCTAGGGCATGGCTGGGAGCCACCAAGTTTTAAGCACATGGGACAATCCATGTCCCTCCCAAAAGGACCATACCAGTCTGGACGAAACTCATGGCAGGTGTCCAAACTGCCGTTTCTCACATTTCACACCATCCCGAAGGGTACCTTTGACACATACCTGAAAGCGGATCGTCAAGAAGCGTCCCCTTCGTGAGTAAGTGTAAAGCGGTCAAATGCCAAAATCCACCAACATCCTCTAGTTTCCCCATTCTCCTGAGACAATCTAATTCGGCCCCGATTGGGCTGAAAAGGGACGTGAGTAGCGTGAGGCGGCCTGAAAACCTTGTTTTCGCAACTGGAGAAGACCCCCCTTCGTTACTTTTCGTCCAACGTACAGGATACTTCAAGGTCACTGCCGGTTTCCTGGCCAAATCCTCTGGCCTACCTGCAGATATTCATGGAACCCGCACAACTCTCCGATTTGGGCAAACCAGCTTCGTCCGCTGGGGTGTATCTGGTCAAATTGCTACAATTCCCAAATTGGAAATAAGAGTAAGCAATCTTTACCATGGGTGAGCTCGTTTACCCGCCGCGTCAGCTTGTTGTAAGTTGTTCAAATGATTCAAAGCTCACCACAGTTGTTGTGAGGCATCAACAAGGTTCAGAGTGATAAGAAGTTGTATGTACCGTTATGATTTCCAAAATGGTTGCGAAACAGAACCAAGCTTCTAGGATTCCATGTGGAGTGTATCCTCTTTCATCAACCCCAGAAAAGGAATCATGCCTCGCCGCGCCCTTGGAACAAGAGACACAAGGCAAAGGTTATCGCAATGCACATGTACGCGGTGTGCACTCAAAAAACGAGCAAGGCAACACATTTTTGTTGTGTCCCACTCCGTTTGTTTCCGAGCCAACTATAAATATGGCCGAATAAGGCCGCGATTTATCGACATCACCTAGGTGGGTAGTTCACATTATGAGTCACTTGTGTAAACAAACCCTTCTGATCCCTTCTGTGATACCAAAATGGCACGGCCATCAGTACCAAAAAAGGGAAATCCAACTTGGGAGCTCACAAAAGAGCAACCCTAAAATTCAAGCGTAGGCTTTCAGAGCCCCTGACCAACTACGATGGGCTTAGGGAAAATCGGGTGGCCGTCACCCGACTAAGCGACCACACCAGTCAGCCACGCCAAGCGGCTGTCCAGCCAGCCAGCGTAAAGGCCCGGCTTGGTTCTTTTGGGCGGGGCGCCGGATCCTGCCACTTTCATGTCTCCCCTGCAAATTAACATGGGTGAGCCCCTCAACGCGGAGGTTGTCCCAAAAGGTGATTCCTCTATCCTATAAGCTTTGCTGATTCAAGCCGCAAAGGACGCCTGCTGCACCACTACATGCTGCTGCTTTCAAATCCCAGCCTTGTGGTCAAAGCGCACTGGAGAATTAGTGCCCAACTTGGTCTTGGCACTTCGTGCAAATCAACAAAAAACAATGATCCTGCCGTCAATCTCGCAAATCACCTCCCCTTGTAGAAGTTAGAGCCCAAAAACAAACACACCTGCATAGAGCCCTATAGACTATACCGTTCAGCTCTCTGAACGCGTGCGGCTCCTGAACTTCGCCTGTGGCGAAGCTGTGGGTCTCATCGATCTCGGCCTCCTGGGGCCTGAGGTCGAAAGTTGGGCGCTCTCCCGATTCTCACGGTGAACAGCTCGAGTGTCCATGTGGTCAAAGACGAAAACGGGGAAAACGGGTACCCTCAACTAAAGACATACCTCAGAACTGAAGACATGGGCCCGCGCCGTGGACTATTCGCTGCTCTACTGTTCTCTTGGATCCGTGTGCGAGGCTTTCACTAGAAATATGCCAAGAGCCTATATAGAGCAAACCGTCTGCAACGCAAGATTGACCAACACTGGAAAAACAAATTGAGATTTGGGTGTTCGCAACATGGGCAACCCCACCAAACACAACATGTGTGGTTTTCCCCACTCTTGGTTTGCCTTTGACCAACCCCGAGAAGGGAACCCACAAAACAGCGACAGACTCATTTGGTCCACTTACGCATCGATGAACCGGCCGCTTGTGTGCTCCGAGAGACACCCCGAAAGAAAAGGACAGTAGCCTGGCCTTAAGCCTTAAGTTTCCCCCCTCACCCCAGAACACCTCACTCTTGCGTCTTGCGCATTTTTGTAACAACCCAAACCAAGTAAGCGTGGACTCATCAACTTTTGGCCCCAAAATGCTCACAAGTTTTGCCCCTGGCAATCGGTGTTGTATTTTTTCGTTCTGGTCAATTCACCAGAACCAGTTGTCTGAAGGCTGCCCCAGCGAAAAGAGTTGCCAGGTGCAGCCATGGGGGCAGCATCGTCAGCAGGGAAGCGGGAGCGCAGTCCGTTGCTGCACGTCGAGACGTGCGGAGCGCCCGACGAGAGACACAAAGGGCACCAGGAGAGGCGGCGAGGGCGAGGGCAAGATTCTGAACCACCTGCAGGGGAAACAAAATATGGGTGCTATTAAAAGCTAGTTGTTGTCTAGAATGGGGTTGTGGAGTAATTACCATGAAACCAAATGATCTCCTCATGGAGTCGCTGTGAAGCACGATTCATTAAATAAAATCATTCACCATTTGGGGGCCCCAAGATGGGTGGCTGTTCCTTTCGGCTTTAATTTGAACAAAGCTGAAAGGCGTCCCTCAAAACGACAAGCACACACACGAACACCCCATGGCCACTCACTATATATATATTGAACACCCTATTTATGTAGTTTGGAAAACAAAACAAATGCAATCAAACCTGACATGGCATATCATGATTAAGCACTCTCTGTGCAAGCAAAACACGGTGCTGCTTATCGCAGATTTCTTCTTGTCACGTAGCGCTCGGACGGTCAAAGGTGCAGCTTTTGGGACGAGATCCCAGTCGCAACCATTATATAACCTGACTGGCAGAAAGGTCATTGGAACCAGTTCTCTTTGGGCTTGTCATTGTTTTGCGGGAACCCACCAAACGAAAAGGGACCTAGAGAGTGCCTCTGATACAAGGCTGAATACAAGGAACCGAGCCCGAATAGCATTAGTTCGTTTGACCCACAACACCCTGACAAGTTGCCCGCGGTGCCTGCAACCAAAACATAAACCGCTCTGCAGCAGCCAGGGTTGGTTTCATTGGTGCCCAGATTTCAACGGACAACGGGCCCCTTGCAAGGCCAACCAGGCGAAATGCCCGGTGGCATCCCTGCAACCCTGGGAACCCTTTCGGAAGCCTAGCCCGCGCTTCGAGCCACTTCAGAGGGCCATCCCCCGCCTGCACTCTCGTGCGGGAGCACCGGCCCTCGCAGTGGCCTCGGCGGGTCCATGGCAGATCGCCATGCCGGGGCTGGCCTAAGGAAAGCATAGTCGCTCGAGCCAAGCTGTCGTCACATGGATCTCGATGTGTATGTATATATATATACCCTCCTGCCCACTAACATTGAACACACCAGAGGGTGCCTTTTAAAGGAAAACTGTCTTCCAGGACCACCCAGTCAAGTTGCATGTGAGTGGATGGGAGGGTATATTGTTTGCATGCCTGTCAACCTGACTTCAATGGCGCTTGCGCCGTGCGGGCGCAAGCACAACACAAGTTGGGAAAGCAGTACCATCCAACTGTCGTGCGCCTTTTTTGTGGGGAGCTGCGCTCCAAACTCTCGGCAATTGGCACAAGATTCATGCGCTTCTGTGGGGTGTGTCAGGATTATCCTCCCACCCACTAACATTGGAAGCCCATTCTCCCGTGAAAGGGACCATTTCTTCTCTTGTGCCACGTTTGGAATGTGGAGGCCCCTCTTGAGACGCCCTGACCCGAGGCAACGAAGCTCTACTTAGTGGCCGAGTAACCTTACCAAGGTGGCATTCAAAGCAGCGACCAAAACCTTTTGATCTTTGGTTCTACCAACGTGGCTGCAAAGGTCAGAACCAGCCTCACCATGAAACAAGGTAGCACCGTAAAGAAAGGGCCTCTGGAGGTGTGGCTCAATCCATCTACCGCACACTTCAATATCCAGCCCCATAGTTGATTGAATTTCGTGTCCAGGCACCAAAGGCAACCACTACATCCTTGAGCCACTCACCTGTCCTTGTCGGACCTGACATTGAAACGTGATCACAGTTTGGGACCTTGACCAAACAAATGGATGCCAAACAGGGGAAACCCAACAGGCTTGCCAAGCTCGATTCGCTTTGGATAATTTAACAAGGCCTGCGTTGGGCTGGCACCTGCTGATGTGTTTTTTCTCCTGTTTTGCGGTGCCTTGGTTGCTTCATGCTTCTGACGCTGCAAAACTCCACCGATGTGCGCCTTCTTCGCTTCACCGGGACCTTGGCGATACGAGTGTCACGCATGCAGAAACCCATGCCCAGCCCTTCTGCGATACCAAAGTCGGACATCACACCCTTTCAAGTGATGATTACTTTATCACTTTAAAGGGGATGCCCTTGGTGTCACGGCAGGTCAGGCGACCCTCCACAAGAACAGTTGAGGCTGTATCAGAACCCTGGACAAAATCAAAAGCACATGAGAAAATTGGGAGGCGGGAGGGGGGTTCTAATCCTTGTTTATGTGAGGACTTTGGGTGGGTCTTTCTCGCCCTCCCAAATCAACAATGAAGGGTTCCCACAAACCAACACGGTTCGCGACTTGCATCGTTTGCCCGGATAACAACCCATGGTGTGACTGGTTGCTGGCAATAAAGGCGTGAACCAAGCATAAGCAAGGCTTGGGTATGGTAAAGCGATGCAAACACCATCACAATCCCATCTCACCTGAGCGGATTGGACTGAGTCCAAGCTTTTCGTTTACCAAAGTCCCAAACCTCAGGGAGTGAGGCATTAGCTCAGTCGGGGTCCCGTGCGAGCTTTAGGCTTCTTCACCTGGCCATGTCCATGTCCCCCAATGGACCCTCAACTGATCGACGATTTTGGGTTCCAGCCATGAACCAAACAAGCGCAGAGCTGTTGTTGTTTGATGGACCGTGAGCCTCCTTTTCAATGATAAACCACAGGATAAAATGGGTGGCCACAAAGGGATCGCTTTACTCGCACCACATCTCCAATAAACCTGGGGGGTCGGGGTTGTTCCCAAGGGCCTGACTCAAACGCTCAAGAACTTGGAGGGGATCACACGCCGGCGGCTTCGGCTGCGGCGCCGTCGCGTGCTCGGGTTGGTCACCCCGGTTTTGGGGCTCCTCGGGCGGCTGCTCGGGCTGCCGGCCCTTCGGGCTGCGCAGCTGCGTCTTCTGCTCGCCATCGCCACTCTCGCCACCGGCATCTCTCTGAGGTGTCCCGGTGCTGGGCCATGCTGCTGGCACCGCCCCGCACACACATTGCTCACATATGGCGCACTGCGCAATCCGTGGAAGCTCAGACGGCTCCAAGTAAGATCAAAGACGTCGCATTGCTCACGTCCTGGTGACCTAGTATAAATCTCAATGATACGCGGCCCTCAACAGCAACTTTTTACTCAAGGGGAACCACTTGAAGACGGTGCTTGTCAACACGCCTCTGAATTGTCCCTTAAGACTTGCTGTTCAACCGAACAAATGGCGCGGGTGATTGAGACTGTCCGGGAGCCTTGTCCGCTGGATTGACAAGGGTTATGACTGGGAGTCTGGGGCGTGGTACACCAATGGGCCTAAACCAAAATCAAGAGCTTTGCGTTGCCCCGACACAGGTTTTCAGCATCGTGGCTGCGTTTCTTTCGCCGAAAAAGTCCCGAACTCGTTTCCCCGCGTTTCCCACACTCCCAGGGACGCTGCTGGAATATTCGGAACACAAAGTCTCCGGCTGGCCCGCGCACCAAGAAATGGGACAGGAAGGTAAAACCCGCGACCCCTTTACCAGCTATATATGTTGGGGTCCTTCCAAAATGGATCCATGAACCAAGTAATTGACCCCATAGTAATCAACCCTAGTTGATTACTAGGGGGGTGGGAGTGATAATTCACCACTAAACCCACGGACAGGCCCACTTAATAGACTGGAGTTGAGAAATAGAGGGGGTGAACAAAATTTTTGACACATCGCATCTTCCCAACAACGGCTGGATTGAAATGGAGACTGTATGCAGGAGCCCACTGCATGAATGTTGTTGTAACCCCTCTGTTAGGGGGGTACCGATACTTTCCAAACCCTGAATTTTCACCTAGAATTTCTTCCAGGGGCGGAGAAACTGCCTGGCTCCACAGGCAGAGGCGGGGTTCCACCCAAACTGAACCATCCCTCCGGTTCATTTCCCAAAGTTCAGTGGTTCCCTGAGAACCAGGGACTGGCCAATGGTCTTCGGATGGCGAAAGCGGGAAGTGGGCATCGACTTGACCAATTCTCGGTTCCTGGATCCGAAAGTTCGAACTTTTGTTCCTTTGTTCCCAAAATGCATCTCTGAACCAGGACGTGAAGGGAGACAATTTGCTTGCGATGCTCGACTAGCTGACTGGAAGCCTCCAACTACCGTTTGCTCATGTTTGCTCCATCAAGTGGGCAAATGCTCATCCATTTGGCTGTCTTTGTTTAGACCCCCTAATGGCTTCGGCTTGCTTTTGGTTTGTTTCCCCCCCCCCTCCCACAAAAAAACGGGGGGGGGGGGGGGGGGCGGCCGACTCCAACAAAGAAAAACACCCACATCTGTCCAAATAGGACTTGGGACCCCCACAAATCCCCCCCCCAAAAAAAAACAAACACAAAAACGAAACAAAACAAAAACAACGACAACCACTCACCCCAAAAAACCAAACTCAAAAAACCAAGACCGCTTGAGGTTCCCCCAAAAGCCAAGCCCAATTTTGGGCCGTGGCGACTCAAAGCGACGGAGCCTTCTTGGGCACCTCCGGGCCGCTGCTGCTGAGGCTCTTCGACTCGCTCTCCGTCCTCGGAAGGAACCCACCTTCTGCTGGCCTTCCATTTGGCTAAGACCCCTGGAAAAATTAAAATATGTCCAAAGTTGATTTCATGGTATCTGGCTGTTAAATTCAAGGAGTCAGCTGTCATGATTCCGTATGGGAAAGTGGCTTATGAGAACCCTGTCTTTTAATGCGGTGCCTGGTGGGGTCTCGATCAGTGCCTCTGTGGCATGGGCCTGCGTGAATCCAGACGCGTTCCAGACCAATCCCAGGCTCTGCACCCAGGGCACTTCGGCAGGCAACGCTACCAATTGAGCGGTGATCAAAATCAATAGGCCAAATTGAGATGATATCATTTGGCGTTTCCGCGTGCTTCCGCGCGCTTCCGCGCTGCGGGTGTTTGCTTCCGCGCTCTCATTTCCCTTCCGCGCCTTCCGCGGCTTGCGTCTCTTTCTTGCCAAGCCAACACAACTAGATATTGAGCTTGTTTTCCACCACCCGTTTCTTTCGTGAAGCAACGCTGACCTGGTCTGTGGAGCCTAGACGGCTGTAGCAAGTGGTTTATGGGTCTCATACTCAAAACGACGCTGAAACGCGAATCCCAATAGATTTGCAACCGCAAACGTGAAGCCTCACGACACACTGCGGCTACGATTCCCGTACAGTGCCAGCGAGAACAACACATCACACACACAAGTCATCCAAATCACGAAACCCTTCCGCGGTCCTTCCGCGCCCTTCCTCCAGTGTTTCGCGAATTGAGCCCCACATCAATCTCCACGCATTTTAGGCCCGGGAGCAAAAACGATTTGTTTGGCCCGAACAAATCGTTTTTAGGCCCGGGGAGCAAAAACGATTTGTGTGGCCCGAACAAATCGTTTTAGGCCCGGGGAGCAATAACGATTTGTTTGGCCCGAACAAATCGTTATAGGCCCGGGGAGCAAAAACGATTTGTGTGGCCCGAACAAATCGTTTTAGGCCCGGGGAGCAATAACGATTTGTTTGGCCCGAACAAATCGTTTTTACGCCCGGGAGCAAAAACGATTTGTTTGGCCCGAACAAATCGTTTCTGGGCCCGGGGAGCAATCACGATTTGTTTGGCCCGAACAAATCGTTTTTAGGCCCGGGGAGCAAAAACCGAGGAGCCAAAACGATTTGTTTGGCCCGAACAAATCGTTTTTTACGCCCGGGAGCAAAAACGATTTGTTTGGCCCGAACAAATCGTTATAGGCCCGGGGAGCAAAAACGGTTTGTGTGGCCCGAACAAATCGTTTTTTAGGCCCGGGGAGCAAAAACGATTTGTGTGGCCCGAACAAATCGTTTTTTAGGCCCGGGGAGCAAAAACGATTTGTTTGGCCCGAACAAATCGTTTTTACGCCCGGGAGCAAAAACGACTTGTTTGGCCCGAACAAATCGTTTTTAGGCCCGGGGAGCAATCACGATTTGTTTGGCCCGAACAAATCGTTTTTAGGCCCGGGGGGCAAAAACCGGGGAGCAAAAACGATTTGTTCGGGCCAAACAAATCG